GGGGGGGGGGGGGGGGGGGGGGGGGGGGGGGGGGGGGGGGGCGCAAGCTACATGTTAACGTTTAGGCCGGACGTTTCAATTTCGATGCACAGACTCTTCCGCTGATACAACAAGTTTACACTAGGAAAATGGGGGAGGGGGGTTCGCAAGCCACGCCAGCGAGCCAGCAAAAAGTGTATACCGATCGGACGGTCTCTGCAACGCGAACAGTAACAGAATTGCAAGAGCCCAAACGGTGCGAATAAATGACACTTCACAAAACCTGGCAAACACTCACTTGCCGGCACAAAAGCAACACAATACCGCACTCACACAGGCGGAACGTACTCCATGAGGTCGTCGAGGTACTCGTTGATCCAAATGGGTTCGAAGTCCGTGACGTGCGCATCGTCTCGGAGGAGGGCTTGGTTGCACGAGTTGCGCATGCTGCACAGGCAGACCCTCCGCCCCTTCTGGCGCGTGCGCGCCATCGCCGGCATGAAGTCCTTGTCCCCAGTCACCAACACTTTCCCCCCCGTCGACATAATTAGAAGCGAGAGGGGGGCAATAGAAGACCGGTCACAGGGAGTGCATGGTAAAGACCACAAGCTTGGATAGGAGGGGGGATACGTGGGGGCCCGAGATAACCGGGCTGTGAGAAGAACGGAGGGGAAATCAACCAACAGCACCTTCCGTCGCGGCACTTCAGGGAATAATGCGTTTGGCGGAGGTGGTGCCAGGTATGTGTTTGCCCTAGGGAAGACTTTGCAAAAAAAATGGTTCTCTCTCTCTCACCGCCCACGTCGTAGGTGTCCGGTATAGTCGCGTAGTGCATCATTTCCACCGCCAGAGCGATGTCGATGCACTTCTCCTGGACCCCTACGGTCGTGGCCCTGAAAATTCGGTTTGACGAGCGCGGGACAAGAATCATGACAGAGACAGCAGTGACCAGGGTTACTCTTACACTTAACTCTACTCAACAGATGGCGAAGCCACTGACTGCCTGTTACAACGCGGAGGAACCACAGCAATCCGTCACCTCTTGGATGGATCTCAGCACGGGCACCGAAGGAGGGCGAGAGCTACAAAAGGACGCCAGCACGACTCCCGCGTGCTCTCAGCAACTTTTGCGCGCGATGCACCGCGCCGCACTCACATATGCACCTCGAAGTTCTTCTCTCGCATGGCGTTGAACATCCGCATCCTGGTGCTATCCTTGTCCGTGTCCTTACGGGCGCTCGAAAAAACCACGGTGCGAACCACCTGCGAAACACGCGACCGAATCAACACCGGCCCATGGCAAAGACGAGCACGACACGAGCCGTGGTGTGAGTCCGCCGTTCATGCATTCGTTGGTGTGTCGACGCAAGCACATACCGCAGGAGGCGGGGGCACGGCGATGGGAGCATGGGCAAGGGGAGATCTTGCTTGGCAACCGCATGGCAACCGCATGATTGCGTCAGGAATGTAGTCGGGTTGGCGACCAGTAAGTACTGTATTGTCAGTCCTTGTCGCCCTCCACCCCTCGCTTCTTTTGCATCTGCGCCTGAGCGCCTTCTGCCTCTACCCCCCCCACCTACCCACGCATACTGGGGTACAAGAAGTGGGCTGAAAAGGCAGAAAGTTACAAAGTTAGGAAAGATGGGATAGATGGGATAGGGAAAACATATTTCGGCAAAGTAGGAGGGAACGATTGGCCATCGATGATCGGTCCTGCGGGAACAACGCGCGGTCCATGATCAAAGCGCCAAGGCATGCAAAACGTGGGTAGCCCGCTTCACCCCGCGTGCATTTCTCTTCTCCACCCGGGGAACCCGTTGCCTTTCGCAGCGACTCCCTCACCTCCACGAGCCTTGAAGACTGGCCGTACCGGGCGAGCTGCGCGTGTACGGCGCGGCTGATGATCACGGGTAGCATCTCCCACTTCACGTTGTACTCGTACACCCAGCCGGGCCCAAGCTTCGCAGACACGTGACAACGCTCCCCCCTGAAAAGCCCCCCCCCCCCAACACACACATATGTGCATTGAATGACCAACCGACCAAGGCCAAGAGAGGTTTTGACTCGCAGCGGGACGAGGGAGGCTAACGCAGGAGGCTCTAGGCCGGGGAAAAGTGACGTTTCGGAGAGACCATCCCGTTTTAAGGGTCGAGAGTGCGGTATGGGTTCCGCACCCAACTTGGCCGCGTTGGCCCTGGTTGGTACGCATACAGGCTCCCATGGCTGCATCCGAACACCAGGTCGCCCCGGTGGATCAGCTGGAAACCTTGTAACCTTGTGACTCTCTAGGGTGGGGTTTCGAACCTCTCTAGGGTGGAAAGTTCGCTCTTTCGGCGTTGAAAAAAACTCTATAGCCAAGTTCTGGGTGGGTGTAGTTGTGATGCAAGAGCATTTTTTTCATAGGACGGACTGGGTACGGGAGCTGAGGAGTGTTACCAGGGGCATGTTGAGGGCGCAGTCAATCTCAAAAACGCCTGACTGATCTGCTTCTGTGCGTAGAAAAAAAATTACATTCTGCCCATTCCATCTCGCTCCCTGCGCCGACGTACACCCAAAGTTGCCTCCGCCGCAGCGCACGTCCAGTACCATGTCACAAACCTTCCAAAGAAACTGTAGTACAGCCACGTGCCGTCGATAAAAACCATGACCTTGAGGGGCACCGACAGCTTGGCCGCCACGTCCATGCTCTCTTCCGTGGGGACGGCGTTTGATACTGCCCCCCCCCCCCGCCGTACCGCCACCCTCGACAACCCAGGCTCTTCCATCCAACCTCTCCTCCATCTCGTAACCGTTACGCTGCTGGAGCTCCGGACCGACGTTGTCGGTGGCGGTGGCGGCGGCGGCGGCGGCGGCGCCGAGCCGGCTTACTCTTCTCGCCCCTCGTCTTGAGCCGTGGCATCCTCTACTGCCAGGATTGTGTGTCGAGGAGTCCTTCGAGTACAGCCTTTTGTCGGGGGCGGTGGTGCGGGGCGGGAAGGGTAAGGAGGCCACGGGCGGGAGAGGGCCGGGGGAGCCATTCGAGAAATGAGTAACGCGCATCAACTATAGGAAAAATGTCTACACCACTTGGCCGTAACTCTAGACTCTTATTACCAGTTCAACGGGTGAATCGCCTCCACTTTGACTCAAAAACGCGTCCATAATGCACGTTGGGTGTAGACTACTAGCGAAGACTGCACGGCTGCCGTGTGTGGAATGTGATTGGAGGGTCAGTGTGTCATTGCTGCTCGTTTCACCTGCCATACTCGAGCGTCTCGGTGCTGTTTACCTACTTGCGCGGTCCGCATGTGTGGACCGACCGTTTCGAGGTGTGGATGTCGAGACTACTAGTCTCAATCTACTGCTTGTACAATGAACTTGCTCATCACACCGCACGAAATATGGTATGGTCCCTCACACCCTCACCGATGGGCGATTCCACCGTGCACATCAATCGTGCAAGGTTCGATCAACGACAGGCTGCGATACGATACGCCAACAGCCGCTGTCCGTCACTAGCAGCACACCACCACTATGCGGACGGGTACACACGGCAGTAGCGTAGGACACGTTTCTGAGTGTACCGGACAGCCGACGACACATGATGGACACACGTTGATGGCAAGGTTACTGCCGTTGCGCCAACTACGTTCGGGAGAGAAACAGTGCACCAGATGCGCCGAAGAACCCCCCTCGTCTAGAGTTCCCGCTGCTGCTGTGCCCTCACCTCTGCCAGCGCGTCGTACTCGTGCTCGGCAACCGTCGCTGCTCGGCAAGGGATAGCAGCCCCACGCCAGACCCTGCTGCTGAGGATTGCAGTGGCGGTGGGTTGAATCCATCAGCACCGCGCGCCAATAGCTGCAACCCAATCAAAACTCCGGACCCTGGCACGGATCCCCTCCAGCCCTGCAACCGTCTTCTACGCCGCTGACTGTCAGACGGCAGCGGCATACCGATGTTTTCATGTGTATATTTCTGGTGTGTGTATTGGGCGTAAGAGCTGGTTTCCTTCCTACAGGGGGCACCGCGTGATCTGAAGGCAGTATCGCCTGCCCCCGTCCTGCTGGCTCTTGACTGATCCTGCTGCTCTGCTTGCGCTACTTCTGGCAGCAGTCTGCGGATAGGGCACCCCTCCACATCGCTGACATGTCGAACCATCAGAAGAAGCCTGACGCTCGCGCCCTTTTCAAGCAAGCCAAGAGTAGGAAAGGAGAGAATAGTGGAAAAAATGTAGTGTCGGCGGGGGGATCAGCAGTATCCGGTCGATCAGGGGCAGCATCATCAGCGGGAGGGAAATATGGAGGGAAAAGCAAGGAAGAGGTGAGGGGGAGTAGAGATACCGTCGAGCCAGAGATCACGTTGTGCCGACCTAAATGGCTTAGTTCTGCGCCTTTTGTCCAGATTGCAATTGCCCAGCGAGAAATTCAACGGACCCGCTTGTGCGCATCATTAGGAGAGACTTCCCGCTCGATATCATGACCCATTGGGTGGATCTACTACCGTACATGCACACCGGTCGCCCCGGTGGTCTAGTGGGTAGCCTCGCAGCCTGCTAAGGGCCAGGTCATGGGTTCGAGTCCCGACAGAGTGAGTTTTTTCTCGCTAATAAGATCTTGGTCTCCGTTGGAAGCGATGCGCTGCAAAGCTCGTTGTTTGTAAACTTGATCGACTTCTTAAGTCGCGAGGGAAGGGATTGCTGTATTGTACCCTTCTCGCTTTAAAAATATCTCAGGCAACGAACCGCAGGAGGGGATCCAACCCCCCCCTTCTATGTGACCCCGGTTGGGTCGTCTAGCTGGTAGGAGTGGAGAATAGGGGCCAGAGGGGCAGACGACAGAGTCCAATGATGGGAGAAAAAAAAGAAATACACAAGGAGTGTTGATGAGGGCACCTGCCGGATACTGGACTTAATCAAGTCTGGTGAAGTCCTTACATAGAGAAAGCAGTGGTGCCAGCGGAACATGCTCTGCCCTGACACCTATGTGGTATAGATGAGACGGTCTCAGGAGGTGACGCGTCGCGCAGGTGGCTACAGTACCAGATGCAGCAGCTCTTTCATCCCGTCTTGGAGCGCCACCCTTCTTCTGCGGACCAACACACCCTAGACTGTGCTACACACCGCGACACACCCGTGCATATGTACAGCACAAGTACAGGCTGCCGTCATCTCTTTCGTCCATGCTGCAGGCGTAAACCAAAGGAACACGCAGATTCACCGCCAACCACCGCCGGCAGCAAACCATCAACATCGACAACCTCAAGAGCCAGTTCGCTGCCTCTGAGACTGCTGTTGATGGTCATCCTTACGGCTAAGTGTATTGGCTCAAGCGGTGTTTCAAACTATGGGATGTTGCCGAGGGTCGCAACAAGTTGTGGTGCAAGAGGTGCAGTCCCGATCAAAGAAGCTAAAGCTCCGGAGTTTGCCTGCAATCAGGCTGATGCCCTGCACCTGGTTGGCCTTTCCGTTGCCTAACATAAAGCTACGGTTTGCCACTTGCGTTCGGCGACAGATACCTGAAGCGGGTATCTGCTCTGCTGCCGTGTGCCCATGCCTATGCACACCACCTTGTTCTCCTCGTACGTTTTCGATTGAACCGATTTACCTCAACACGCGTGCTGATGCCAACCGTTGTCGTCTTGCTTGCATCATCCCTGCCTTTCCCCAGCTATTGGCTTTGTATAGGGCCAAAAAAGCCATCGCCGCTGCCAGCAAGGCTAACGCTAGTGCACAGCAGAAGAAGCAGCAGCAGACACAGCGCCCGAGTGACAAGAGCTCGGGTTCGCCAGCTACGGGACGGAAGCCTACCGTCAAGGTGAGGGGGCACATGCACATCCCACATCACATCTCGTGGATTTGTGTGGAACAGCGCCTTACCAGCTGTGCGTGGTGACGGAAGCCTCGTGCATGTTCGTCTGTGTGTTCGTCCCATCTGGTGGCAGGAACATGTGACATAGCTCCATCGAGCTTGAGAGAGAGAGACAGGCAGATAGACAGACAGACCGACCGACAGATATAAACACAGAAGAGGACACGCCTTGCCAGCACTGTTGTAGCAAAACCGTCATACCTAACCGTGCAGGCTGTGTGTGGACTTACGACCGAAGCACCCGTGCCCTCTTGAGTGAGGAGTTGCGTCGCTGTGTACTATTTTTGTTTGTCGCCTCTCTTTATACATGTTGACACCACACGAACGACCTTCTCATATATGTACCTTCTCCTACTAAGAGGAGTGGCCGTGGCGCAGAGAGACAGAGAGCCGTGGCGAAAGCGGCTACGCAGTTAGCTCTAAACTCCATCAACACCTCTCTTCTCTCTCTCTTTCCGCGTATCGTCCCACCGGTAGCACTCGCTTAGGTGCATGTGTCCTTTCACCGCCGAAACCGCTCCTCCCTTTTGCACCTCAGTCTCGCGTGCCACGCGTCAACATGGCATATGCCGCGGGACTCGTCATCGATTAAATACCCATCGACAGGTGCCGGTGATGACCGCAGCGTCTGGAGCCGGGCGCCCCAGCGTCCAGCCGGCGCCACGAGGACAGGTCCAAGCGGAGGGCGTTGGACTGACAGGTGAATTTCACCGCCCATCCAGCAGAAGTTGGTGCGTGTCGAAGCGACAAGAGTACTTCCACTAAGAAGGTGCGCTCACTTTTTTGCTTCTCGGCGCGACCTTCCTTATTCGTCAATAATATATATTTTGGCTGCATATTTCCGCAGTCAGAATCATGGCCAGGAGAAACACTTGATATCGGAGCGGTGTTTTTTCCAAGCAAACGCACACACCCTCTAGTGGCAACGAAGAACTACATTTGTGCGTTTCCAGCGTGCTAACAGTATGAGGTTGGGGCTGTAGCATCATGGTGTCTCTGTTCCCCCCGGATTTCGAGACATGACGATGCCGCAGCCACCACTTTCTACTGTTCGCACACTGCAAACGCACAAACGTAGTTTTTCGTTACCATGTGAGAGGGTGTGTGTTTGCTTTGAGACAACACCGCTCTAATGCAAGCGTTTCTGCTGGCCATGATTCTGATTGCAGAAATATGCAGCTAAATTTCTACGGAAGGATCTTCATCGACGAAAAAGGTCGCGCCGAGTAGTGAAAAGTGCGCGAACCTTCTTATTGGAAGTAGTCTATCGAAAAAAACTGCTGTGGCGCTCGCTGTTTGTAGCTAAGAGTTCTAGCGGCGTTGTTGCTGTCGCGATTCACTGAGGGGTTTATCCGTTCGCTCCAGACGAAGTTGGTATACCATACGTTCGTCGATACTACGTTGAGTTTGTGTTTGATGAATGATGGGTGTATTGGTGGACGCCATAGTTGTGTCTTGGTAACGCATTCCGCCGTGGATATAATTGTGTGGAAAATCAACGGTCAACATTCGTATACATGGATTTTTTTGCTAGAGTGAGGGATGCTTATGTCGTGGTAGCCAGCTATATACCCGGAAGTTTCATGGAGTGAGGCTCGAGCGCCTCTACGGTTGCACAGAGTAGGACGTTGACCACACCACCACAACCTTGTACCCGCCTCCTACAGTACGACACACCCCGTCCCACTGTATGGTACGGGTTTTGTGACGTACGTACACTTACATTCCAAGGGGGCAAAGGTGTCCGTGCCAAACGACGCTCTCTCAGAGGCCGTAGAGAACTTGCCTACAACGCGACGATGTTAAACATTTCCACCGTATGCGTCGTGGGTAGAACCGGGCTTCGGATGCCGTCCCACGGCGACAAGCCGGGGGTTAACCTTATGACTTGTTCCCTGCATCGCTGGGCAACACAGCGCGCGCACACGTCCTGTTGCTCCGAGAAACCCTACGTTCCTTGCCAAAAAGCACCAGCCCCCACGGCGAATAGAGCTCATCCATGGCGTCGCTGATTCTGACCTCGCCAACGCGTGTTGGGACTTTCGCTATTGTTATATCGCCCCAGGCCTTTTAGGCATTGGAGCAGGAGACAGCAGCAGCAACAGCGACGAAGACGACAACGACGACAACAACGCAGGCGGCGGTAGTGACAGGCATCCGGGAACGGATGCCGCCCCTGTCTCAACCCCCGCCGCCGCCGCCGCCGCCGCTACACCCGAGGGCTTGCCAGCGGGCTTCTTCGACGAAGACTTGGCGGCCGACTCCTCCACGACCGTCGCCGACCCCGAAGAGGCTTCCGGGGTGACGGCACCGCCCCCCCCGCGGCCCCAGGCGCCGCCGGTGGGGCGGTTCGGGGCGGAACGGGCGGCCGAGCTTGCCGCCGAAGCCGCTGCCGTTGCCGAGGCCGCTGCTCTCCGGGAGGCGGAGAAGCTTGCGGCGATGCGGGCGGCGGGTCTATTGGTAGTGGCGGCGGATGGGGCAACAGGCGGGGCAGCGGCGGACGGGGGCAAGAAGGCCGCGGACGGCGGGACTGAGGCGGCGGCGGCGGCGCCAAACGGATCTGCGCTGCCGGAAGGGTTCTTCGACGACCCCGAGATGGACGCGAAATCCCGAGGCGTTGACCTGAAGGCCGAGAAGAAAGAGGAGGAGCAGTGAGTATTTTGCTTGTTTCGGATTATTGCTTCTGGCGTGTATTTACCTCTGCAGATTTTGCTATTCTCTTCCTCGTCCTTTTTAGCGTTTTTTGGCGGCCCTTCTTCTTATTCCGCAGTTTAACCGTCGTTATCTCACTTATACTTACCTAGTTTTGCTTATTGAATCGCGTCCTGTCCCTCGTCTGTTCCTGGAGAGTATCCTTTGAATTCCCATCACATTCACACTTCCCCAAGGATGTGAAGGGGGGGGTTAGTTGCAACGTTCGTACAACAATGGTTCGCCGGCAACGTTCCGGGCTGTGAACGGCTTGCAGCTAAGCGAGCCTTCCGAAGCTTGTCGCGGTTTGCCCCCCGTCACATACATGCCCTACCGTGTCAGCACCTCTTGTCCCGCTCATGAGTGCCTCTCGTGGTGACGCTCGTGTGTACCTCATGTTGTCCCACTCGTGTGCACCTGTGCCTGTCTCACTCATGTTGTTGTTGTTGTTTCTCACATTAGCTCTATAGTCCACAATAAATGGGGAGCCCGCGGTCTCGAAACCCGGCACATACGACGCCGCGGGGAAACAAAACAAAAATAGGGTAGAAACCACTCGGAATAAGAAAACATAATGATAAAAAAGGAAATACAGGTACCGCACCGACCGTTCGAGAAAGGGGCCCTCGGAAACCGATCAAAACTAAACAAAAACAAAAAATAAAGGAGGGCGCTTCCCACACCCTCCTAAAGAAAGAATCAAAGGGTAACGTGCCTGCACCAGGCACTACGCACCAGGGTATGGGAGTCACGGAGCAAACCGGACAAAGAGGCGGCAGGTGGGCAGACAGTCAGATGTACAAAAAACATTGTGTACCTCTTCGTGTCCCACTTTAGTGTGCCTCTTGTTTGTCGCCGCCGTGCGGCATGTCTGTCTTTTCCTTCTCAGGAACGAGTGGAAGGAGTTCATGTCGTTCGCGGAAGAAGTCAAGAAGACCGAGAAGGTGAGGGTGGTATTCTGCGGGTTTTCGTGAGATAACGTCTGAAGAAGCTTTGTTTCTTTGCGTGTCCAAATACGGCTTTACCATGACGAGGTTTTATTTCTTCTCTTGTCTACTTGGAAGTAGCAGAGAAGTGTCTGAGTTTTTATGTGCTTACCCGACGTTTTGCTCTGCTTTTCCCGGGGCTGGCTGCATCGTTTCGCGTGTTGTTTCCGCAGGAGGAGGAGCAGCAGGAAGAAGCGGTGGAGGAAGACAAGGAGCAGTACGAGGAACTAGAGCAAGCGTGAGTGCCCGTCCTCCTTTTCCGCTCCCCTTTGTACAGCGCAGCCCACGCTATTTTAAATGACCGGTATGTAATCGTATGTAATTCCCCCCCCCTCCCTCTCTGACCCCCCCCCTCGGTGTTTCCCATCGGGGTTGGGTTTGCGTCGGTTGGCAACGACGTTGTAAAACAAGCCAATTCACTNCAGTGCTTACAACTGTCTCTGGAAGTGAAAGCACCAGAAAATAACTCAAGTCATACGCAGCTGTCTTCCGTACGCAAGGAAGTAAGCACAAGGTGCCTAACAAACACCCTTAGAAGGGTGCGCATGCGTCTTCGACTCGCCGAATATCTCACGGCGCTTCGCGCTTGGTGATGTGAGAGCCTGGTCCGGTGAGAACCCGGCGTGCTCCGTCCCGGCTTTGTAGGGATGCGAGGTCAATGGTCTAACGACTACGGCATGCACCACTATGAGTACACTTCCCCCCCCCTCTCTGACATGTACTGTCAGCACTTTCCGAAGTTGATACGCTGTTGTGTTTAATAGAACGAGAGAGGCGTGCGTTGGTATGGTCTCTGCCGTGGCGCTGCTGCCCGTACCCGATGTACACGTAAACTTGTCGTCGCAATTTACATGATTCTCGTTGTTAGGGTAAACTGCCAGCTGTCCCCATAGAGGTCGTGATTAACTTTCCCTCGCACGAATATAATTGAACTGGAGGAAATGCGATGACGAGGGCCTGCCCATTACTCAGCCCTATTTTACCTCCCAATTGTTGTGTTTGATGGTGGTGGCATCAGTTGTAGGTTACCTTTCGTAGAATTTGGGGACAGCTTTACTGCTCTCGCGTCGCCGAGGTGGCTTGCTCACTCTCCTTACGTTTCAGCAAGCGTAGAACGAAGGCGCTCTTCCGCTTTCTCTTAGCTTCACCTGCCATACCGCCCTCTTCCCGCGTCTCGTTACATTGCCTGCCCGAACAACGTCATGGCAACGTCATGGCAACCCGCGCGTTGTTGGTGGGCGCCAAAAACTCTCGCAGGACGATGATGGGCCGCCTGGCGCTGCTCATGAACAAGTCCGAGAGCATCATCACGCGGAAGCGGAAGCGCGCCGAGCCGGCCCGCGGCGAAGCAGAAGACGAGCAAAAGAATGATCTCGAGAAGGACAGCACTGATCCCAGGAACGGTGCTGGGGCGGCAGCGGAGGGCAAGGAAAAGAGGCAGCGGGAAGAAGAGCCCCGACCAAAGTCCCTTGACAGTAGCGACGGCGGAGGCGGAGGCGAGAAGGAGGAGGTGGAGAAGTCGGTGGCCAAGACGGGGACGGCCATGCGCGAGGTGGCCGTAGCCTCGGCACCGGCCGACGCGGCGGCAGCGGAGATCTCGGCGATGCTGCGGGGGCGAAAGCGAAAGAAGAAAAGGGCCACGGAGGAGGCTTTTTCCGGAGAGTACGTGCCGATGGACCCCTTGGACTGGCGCGCTAGGGGCCGATGATGGCAGCTTTTATTATTCTTGTGTATGACGAAGCATATGCGCAGCTTGTTGGTTTTGGTTGAACATTGCGGGGCCACCTCCGTCATGCGTACCGTGATGAGGGAAGGGTGTTTTGTTCGTCCGGAATAGATGCGCGGGGAGGAAGGGAGGGGGGGGGGGGGGGGGGGG